TGCACAAGGCTGTCACAGCCCAGGGCAGGTGTGGAGTTCAGCATCTCCAAAATGCTCCAGCTGGCCCCAGGGCTGTGCTTGTCCCTGCTGAGCAGGAGGCAGGAACTGGGGGGCAAAGGAGCCATTGCACCCCACCCTGACCAAGTACCAGCCCAGGCTGCCAGCTTCAGCTCAACTCTGAAACCCTCCCTGGGCACAGCCAAAAGGGGGATGGGGCTCCCTGGGAAGCACCCCAGGATCCAGGCACTCGCATGAATCCATCGCAGCTGGAAGCATCGAGGGTGCTTTGGGGTGCAAGAGCAGCACCACAAAACCTTTACAGCCACCCCCAGGGCTACAGACACAGCAGAGCCACCTCCTGCTTTCCAAACAGCTTTATTTTGTTGCATCCCTGTTTTTCATGGGAAATCAAGGACCTGGGCCACCTGGAACGTGAAGAAGCGCAAAGTGCTTTAAGCCTCTTGTGCTGAGCATGGGCCAGCTGCTTCCCAGCGAGCTCCAGCTCCTGCAGCACCTCCGCAGCACAGCTCTGCTCCGTCCCTGGCTGGCTGGTGCTGGCAGCTGCACATAGGACAGCTTTGTGCTCCAGGAGCCAAGGACTTCTGCGGATGGGAGTGTTTCTCCAGGAAGGGCAGTCCCTAGCCCCAGCAGGACACACTCGGGGCAGGAGAACTGGGCCACCTCCACCTCCATCATATCTACCTGGAGGTTGCTCAGAAGTGAAGGATGCTTGTGGTGGAGCATTCCCGATGTCCCTAAGCTGCGGCCTCAGTCTTACCTTTAGGGGGTTTTGCCTGCAAAATGAAGAAGGGCATCTTACTGTATTGGAGACAAGGGGACAGCCCAGGCAGGTGGTCCTGATCTGCTCAGATCCCTCGCTCGAGGCCCCCACTCCACTTGTGAGATTCAGACTGCCCATTAAGAACATTTTTTCCCCAGCAGGATGGTGCATCCCCGAGACAGTTCACTTCGGGATCTCTCTCGCTGGAGGTTCCCAAGACTTGGCCAGATAAAGCTGAAAACGACCCAAGGGCTGGCAGCTCTCCTGCTCTGCAGGGGCCTCCCAGACCACCCTGTGACTCCCTGATTGAACAGGGCTGGGCAGTGCCACAGCAGGCATCACCCACGGCAAGAAAACCCATCACTGAACTGCAGCGTCAGCACCGACATGGTGCCAGTGCACGCTCTGAAGAGCTGCCCTCTCCTCACATGGAGTTTGGGCAGTTCACTCCAGCCTCAGCTCTCCAAAGCAGCCCTGTCCTTACCTCCTCGAACTTCTCCTTCCAATAGAAGTCAGCCTTCGCATCCAAGTAGAGCAGAACCAGGTCACAGACCACCGTGGCCTGGAGACAGACAAAGGCAGCAGGACAGTCAGCAGTGGAGCTTCCTGCAGGAGCACCAGGCTCTGCCCTGGCTCCCACCAAGCCCTGCAGCCAGCCATGGGCCAAACTCCAGGCAGTGTAGGAGCAGTGAGCCTGATCTGCCTCCAACCCAGGCCACCCAGGCAGCTAGCTCCACCAGGTCCTCTCTGACCCAGCCGGCTCCCATTAGCTGCACAGGAGGTTAGATGTGACCATCCGGGCTGCAATCACAGGCTGGTTTGGGCTGGAAGGGACCTTAAAGCTCATCCAGTTCCACCCCCCCTGCCAGCAGCAGGGACACCTTCCACTAGACCAGGTTGCTCAAAGCTTCATCCAACCTGGCCTTCAACACTACCAGGGAGGAGCATCTACAACTTCTCTGGGCAAGTGAATTGGATGCAGGGTGAGGCCGGGTCCAGTGGAGAGCCGCCGTCACATAAGGGATCAGGACGAGTACGTCTGGGAGGAAAAAGGGGGCTGGTGGGAGAGCCCAGGGACCCCATTAGTCTGCTGAAGGGGAAAAGCCACAGAAGGGCTCTAAAAGGGGCTTCCCCATCATGATGACCATAATGTCACGTCCATGCTGGAGCTGGATGATGGGTCCCTTTAGAGTCAGGGGAGAAACAAAGAGGAGGTGCCCTGTCCTGCTGGCCAAGACAGCCGGAGCAGCCCATCTAGCAATGCCCCAGTGATTCACCTTCCCAGGGTCACCACAAACACCTGGTCTCCATGAGATGTGCCCCTGACAGCACCGGGATCCCTGACCCAGCAATGCCATTACTGCTAATGGTCATAAACAGGAAAATAGGAGCAAACACCTGCCAGGCAGGTGTTTCCTCTCCCCAGCTGGCAGGTGCCCAGGAAGCCTTGTGCCCAGGCAGGGGAAAAACCAGGTGAGTGGCAAATCCCAACCCAGGGACTGGAGGGAAGGAGTGTGTCTGGAGTACTCACGGCACCAAAGAACGCGATGCCAGTGCCAAAGATCACGGCAGCAGGGAATATGCTGAACTTCCCAGCCTGGTGAGAAACAGTGGGTGGAAGGGGAAGACAGTGGGCAGAGAGCAGTGAGAGGGTGGTGGGACATGCCTGCTGGGCTGTGTGCTTAAAGCCAGGGAGGTGCTGGAGGAAACCAGGGTTATTTCTCTGAGCCCAGCTCTAGGTGCCCAACTGCTGTTGCCTTGACTCAAAACCCCTTCATCTGTCAAAGGAGGGATTGAGGCAGCTCATGACTCGGTGGCAGCAGAGGTTATACTGTGACCCACCTACACCTGCTCGGATAGCTCCCTCCCAGCAGCTGCCACCCACACAATGACATCCCCGTGAACAGCAAACATGGCCCTGATGTGATGTGTCCCTCACTGCTCAAATTAGTCTGGTATCTCTGAGAAAAGAGATCTTTGGGTTCCTGTCTTTCTCCTGGCTATTCTCTCCTGCTCCACACCTCCCAGACCTGGTCTCAACCCAGAAGTGGTGCACCCTGTCCTGCACTGCATGCTTCACCCTCTTCAGGTGACAAGGCCACTGCTAAGCACAACAGACAAGCTGTAGACATCTCTTGGGGAGACAAGTTCCCTCAGCACAGGCTCCATCTTGCACAGTTCAGTACTGAGTTTGTCAGCAATGCTGCACAGGGTAGCGTCAGCTATGATCATGCCAATGCCTTTTCTTCCCAAGGGTACAATTAATCAAGAAGGGATTAATTAACCAGGAAAGTTCAGGTTGATCTTTGCCAGGGTGCTCTCACCACAAGACCCACTGAGATGCCAACAGCCCCTCTGACCAGACAAGCTCACCTTGCCTTAGTACTCCACAACACCCACGTCAGATCCTGAATGAGGGAAACCTCCTTGCCCAGGGCACTACCAAGAAGTTTTTCTTCAAATGGGAGAGACCATTTTTTTCCTGCTCTGCTTGGAAAACTCTGGAAAGAGGTGAAGAGCTCACCAGGGTGGGGAGAAGCAGTGCTAGCAAGAAGCCATGGGGCTGACTGCAGGAGACAGCAGCAAGGAGCGGTGGAAGGAGGCAGCCCTGGTGACAAGCCAGCCAGGACTGTGCATGTGGGATCTGCAGAGGAGACGGTACCTGGCCATGCACGGAGATGTCAAAGCGGATGCCATAGAGCTTCAGCAGGTTCCGGTAGAGCCGCCGCTGGGAGTCCCAGTAGTAGGAGGCAGTTCTGTGGGAGACATTGGATGCAGCTCAGAAAGCCACAACAGCTCTGCCCAGGCAGTGAAGGAATAGAGCTGCCAGTGCTGTACGACTGGGGTACCACATGCCTCAGCACACCCTTGTGTCCTCCTGTGGGCAGGGGTACGGGCGATACATGTGGTATCATGACTGGCTAGCTTGGCATCAGCAGCGGGGCATCAGTGTCTGCTCAGCACCCAGCCTGGGGTCACTGGGAGCAGCTCCCAGTATCCAGTTCAGGGTCAGTAGGGGTGTGGACAGCCACATGTCCCTACCCTCAGGCAGGTAACACCTTGTGCAGCTCCAAACACAGCAGAGCTACAAGGTGCAGGAACTACCACAGCACCCCAGGATGGGGAGACCTGTGCTGGGTTACAGTGTCCCATTGTCCCACTGTCCCTGCTGCTCCTTTCAGAGCATCATTAGGGAAAACTGAGGTCTCAAATGATCGCCACGACGTGCCCATCCCGCAGACCTGTGTGGCCACTGTCCCAGCGTCCTCACCTGAAATTGTACCTCCTGTCCTGCAGGCTGAAGGAGTACCGGGGCTGGCACTGGGCAGCAGGGTGATCCAGGTCGCAGTCCCACTCAATCTGAACTCCAATGCTCCCCCCCTGCAAAACACATTTTATTCCAGAAGCATGGGATCAGAGATTTGATGAGTTCACTGTTCACAGATCACACAGAGAGATCACGTAATCCCCTTAGCATTTCAGGGCTCACTCCTGTGCCCTGCCCATGCCCTTGGAGAATTTTGAGTCATCTTTCATACTTTAAAATAAAAAAGCAAATACCAGCAGTGCGAGCTCCTCAAAGGTCTCTCCAGCTGCCTCCACCATGTCACGGACACGGAAGACTGGGCAGGAGGGGTTGAAGAATGGATCGTATCTGCAGCTCTTGAAATAGGTGGAGTCATTGGTTTGCAAAGTATTGCACCTGAGACAGGAGAGAAAGAAAGGGAGCTGTCATGGGTGGAGCAGTGTGTGGAAGGTCAGGGAGCCCTGCTGCAGGCTGAAAAGGAGACCCTCCTTGCTGGAGTGGGACGACTAAGCTCCTGCTTCGGGAGGAGACAGTCATTGCCTCTCCTAAAGCCTCAGCTGGAGAGAAGGTGGAGGGAAATCAGCCCAGAGGAATTACACGTGGAGTTATCAGCCTTCACAGCACCTGCCATGGTCCTTCCCCTCCCAGCTCCTCTCCTCCACCTCTGCCTTTGTGCTTGTCCTTTCTCCCCCAGCACACAGCTCCCACCATGGTGAGATGTCGTGACCCAGCCCAAGTTACAGCTCTAGGGGTGACAGCAGGGGCAGTTCAGATGCCCCAAGCCATGCCTCCTGCCAGAGCAAGGCAGCACATGCAACGTGCATGGGGCTGTGAGGCCAGTGCAGCCCTTCTGCTGGGACTAAAATGCAAAAGTATACGGGGTAGAACAAGACCTTGGGAATGACCGGCCTTGTCACGCTCTGTTTGCAGTGCTCTAGACAGGTAGGACGCAGCAGTCCCTCTGTCTGGGGACTCCCTATCCCATTGCTCTTAGATCTGCAAACACATGTGCTGCCAAAGCAACTGGTGTTCTCCTGGACATGCCATCCTGAGCCATAAGTGCCCAAGGCACTGCCCGTCCCACCTGGCACACGGCTTCTTGGACACCTCGGCTGCTCAGCCCCATGGCAGACAAGCTCAGCGCAGAGCCTAGACTAAGCTGCATGCACAGCCCCAGCTGAAGGAGCCTCATACTTACTTGGAGAAGTTAAATTTGGTGAAGTGGACAGTATTTTTTATAAAAAGAGTGAAATTCTCTGCCTCAGCCAGAAGAGGTTTCCTGGAAAAAAAACACCGACAAACTCAAATTTTGCAGAGTGGCCAAGGCCCTGCTCCCCAGTCCCCACAGGACTCTGGCTACAATGAACAGCTACAAAAAATACTCTTGCATGAAGGTCTCTGGGCTCAACTGACCAGTAGATCCATGTCAAAGATTTCCCTGAGCCTGGCAGCCCCACAGGCAAGTATATCAGGCTCCTGGTTACACAGAGCACAGAGAGAAGTAACCAAAGCTTTCCACACCTGCTGTCCCCTCCCCCTGTGCCTTACCTGGGCAGGGTGCTATTCTCCACAGGACACCAGCCATAGATCTCACAGGTGGAATGGGTGGTATTGAACATCACACATTTCCCAGTTTTTATCCCTGGAAATGAGACAATGTATATCATTTACTATTCCTTTTTGGAATGGCTTCTTTGCGGGTCCCCTCTGGGGATAATGTCCTGGCCACAGGCTTGTTCTCACCTTCTCAAAACCTGAACCACAAAGACAACCCTGGGATCACCTTCAGTGTTTTCCCCACCCAACAACTTCCCTGTGAGATCTCCCCTCAAGACTGGACGACAGAAGCTGTTTTACAAAGACAAGAAGCTGCTCGCTGCTGTCAGCACCATCCATCCAGCGCAGCCGCTCCTGCCCTGTGGCTGCTGAAGCCACCAGCTCCCCCGGTGGGAACACAAGGAGCTGGGGCAATCCTGCACACAAAGCTTTGGCAACCAACCTCCTAGAGTTCAAATATCCTTTTCCAGCTGAACTCACAGAGGCTGCTAATATTAATCAGCATGAAATAAAAGGCAGGTTTTATGACAAAAGGAAAACCTGTCAATCACAAGGCACAGTGGTTTCAATTCCAGCAGCCAACATCAGAAACAAAGCACCCCTGTATTCGCTGTGACAGTGCCTGGTGCCTGCAGCACCTGCTCCTCCAGCCATGACAGGTCGCTGGAAGGTTTTGCCAAGAATAAATGGCTGGAGAGCACTTCTAAAAACACTGAACTCGGACAATCAGGCACCTTTGTGGATCCGTTTGTTACCAAACATGAGGAATTAAATTATTTTTTGTTTTTAACAAAACACCCAGTACCATTGCCACGAACCACTGGGTTTCCCATGGGACAGTCTGCATCTTCTGTGCACATCGCATCAAGAACCGAGGGGCTCTGAGAGAGACAGAGAGAAGCGCTGTCACTGCGTTGTGCAGCGTCTCGGGCCGTGCCGTCACTCACCCACGTTTCCAGGCTGCTGCTCCTGTTTCTCCAAGCACATCCCAAATGCTTTCAGAAGACATCCACCATGTCCAGAACCTGGGCAGCCTCCAGCCAGTGAGGAGAGAGGCATGTCTGAGGGGCAATCCTTCCTGCCTGTCTCTGTGCTCTCTGGGGTGCTCACCCCCTCTGCCTCAGCAGCAGAGGAAGCCTCAGGAGCTAGCTTGGACCTTTCAGCTGGGACTGGGAACAAGCACAGTTGGGTTCAGGAGAGTCTTAATGGCATAGCCCATTGAGCACCTTGTAAAGCACCACCACAGTTCCCCCAGGGAAGGGCTGAAGAGACCCTAAATACAGCGTAACACAAGTTCTACAAGAGATACAGAAAGCTTCACCCTTGCTCTGGACCCACCTGGTGGCCATGAGCAGCAAACAGCTCCTGTTCCAACAGAGAGGATGGCAGGTGGTAGAACATGAGTAACACCCTCCCCAGCTACTCACAGGCCATCACAGGAGCCACCAGCCTGTCAGAAACTCACCTCCCCAAGCCCATCAGAAGTCCACCTCCCCAAGCTCAGAGGGGCATGGAGGCCCAAAGGCAGGTGGGGAAACCCCAGTCATGGAGTCAGAAGAAAGGGGGGTCTGTCTGGTTCCCACCAGGGCTGTCCCAGGACAGCCTCAGCCCCTTGGTCCAGGTGTGAAACCCATCATCATGACCTGGGAGAAGCAGGTTTCTGAAGCACCTTTAGGCTGAGGAGTAGCATGCTACCTAGGAGTATGGGAATCATTATGGGATGCAGGAGAAGAGCATTTTGGGACTGCACAGGACATTTAGGGGATGGGAAGTTTAGGGAAGGAAGAAAAGGCACGGAAAGGGGGAGATCTAGGTGAGCTGAGAAGGAACAAGCATTGGAAAACAGAGGGATAAAAGGATGCAAAGGACTGGTTGCATGGAACGAGCTGCCCTGCACCTCATCAGCACAGTCTGTCCTATCTTTGTACTAAACTCCATTTCTATCTATTTTCCTGGGTGAGGGGCTCTATTCTGTGTGCATGTGTGTGTATGGGGGGGCTGAGGGCCAGCAGATGGAGTGGGACCACCAGTCACAGGGGCTTGTGTGTCTGGGTTCCACCAGCTGCAGCGATTGCAGGTGTGCACACGAATGTGTGGTTCACAGCAAACGCTGGGCTGGATGAGCCAGTGAGGAGGTAACCAAGGAGCAAGACGGTGTCTAAGGGTGAGCCTGCAGGAGCTGACTACTGGAGGGACCAGGGGGTGCTGCCTGGTTGCTGGAGAGGGGTGGCTATTGGATTCAAGCCCCAGTGAATCTGCATCAGGAGCCACTGATGGGCCACTCACAGTGTGCAGGACCCACCTGCAGTGCTGTACTAAGCCCTTATGAGAGGACTTTGCTATCCTGGATCCAAACCAGATGTCATGGATTCCACCTCCAGAAGGCCCCAGACAACAGATACTTGCAGGTGAGTGTGTCAGTCCCTTCCCAAGTCCAGGTAACAAGACACACGACAAATGACGCTTGGCAGCCAGACACTTCTGGGTGTTCAGGGCACGCAAGCCTTGCAAATAGAGGCTCAATCCAACCACTCCAAGTATTTGAGATAAAGATTGAAAGGTCTTCCTAAGAGATATGTCACAGCTCAGCCACAGATCTCAGCTCAACACAGACATCAACTGCTAAAACAACCTGGCTTGTGTCCAGGTGCTGCCTCTGGCCCCAGTTGGACCCTTCCCTCAATACTTTGGTAATTGAGAATATTCAGAAATTCCTGCAGAGTCAAAAAGCTGACACTGCCAAGTCCTCAAAGATGTCCAAACATTAAAGTCAGCTCCAGCCTCAAAGCCAGGAACTGGAGAGCAGTAGAGGGCAAAGGCTGTGACATGAAGCCAGGCACAGCACAGCCCTGTACTGGGATGAAATGCTCTGTGCTCTCTCTGTCCTTTCCTTGCACACTGCAGAACTAAGCACCCAGAGGTGCCAGTGACTGCCTGTGAGAGAGCCCTGAAATGCTCTACAGCACACATCTTCCCCTGCAGATCCTGCAGCTATCAGTACTTTAGCAATTCTCAGCATTTTAAAGAGGGGTCATTAGCGCTGTTTTTCCGCACCCCCAACTAAAAACTTGGGTTGCTCCACCTCTTCTGCAGCTTTTGGGCTGTGTTTGTGGAGAGCAGCCCAGCCCGGCAGCACAGGGCAAGCTGGGAGGCAGGATCAGGCTGGGCAAAAAATCCCAGAATTGCCAGGATTGCAAAAGCCCTTTAAGATCGTCAAGTCCAATCATGAACCCAACACTGACAAGTCCCCGACTAACCCATGTCCCTCAGCACTGTGTCTACACAACTCTTCAATCCCTCCAGGGATGGGGACTCCACCACTGCCCTGGGCAACCCCTTCCAATGCCTCAGAACCCTTTCAGTAAAGAAATTCTTCCTCACATCCCATCTCAACTGCCCTGGCCACAACTGGAGCCCATTTCCTCTTGTCCTAACAGCAAAAGCTGAAGGCACTATTAGGACAAACAGTGCTTGGCTCAGACACAAGGTGCCAGCGGTGGTTTAGCTTAAAAGTAATTTGCTCCTGTCTGCCAAGAAGGGTCCAGCCTGGGAGAGTTCAGTTGAGGAGCTGGTCTGAATCCAACCTTAATGGGAAGATATCTCCCAGAGAACATAGATCACTAAGTGTTGGCTGACTGGGAAACCACCTAGGCTTTGTGCTCTGTTCCTCCTAAAAATAGGACACTGAGATAGGAAGGATACCAATCCTGCAGCAGAGGAGACATGACGCAGGTATCCATGGAGTGTAAAAGCATCAGGAAAAATGGCAGAACGTAAAAGAATGGAGCAGGAAGTCCACAAAACAAGAACATGTGTGGGACTCAAGAAGAGAGTGAAGAGAGTGTGGGACTCAAGAGAGGTGACACAGGAATTCCCTGGGGATAGCAGTGCTGATGCCAGCTGCAGTGCAGAGATGGAACAACAACAAGGCAACACAGCTCAGACTGTCCCAGCAGCCCTCGTCCAAAGGAAGCAGACAGCCTGCAAAGACCACACAGCATTACCACCCCTCAAGAGGTCCAAAGAGCTGGCAAGGACCCAATAGAGTGTGTCCCTTGTCCTTCTGGTCACCACAAGTGATTTTACCCAGACTGCTTGCACATTTGGTCTTGGTTCATGCAGGCATGACAGGGCAAGTGCAAATGAGCGTTGAAGATCTATGGAGCACTAAGAATGAGGGGAATCAGGGGGGTTTTTTTATAAAAATCCATTTTTCCCTTCTGTCTGTTATTGCACTGGGTTCTTCTGAGTTCCAGCTACAGAGCAGAACCACTGACTGGCTATATAAATCTAAACCTGCTGCAGTGCTGGACTGAGAAACAGCACAGCTCCCTTACCTCAGGACAGGTACCCTGGGCTTGCTCTGCTGTAGCAATGAAGTTGGTCACCAGAAAACGCACATTTTCTCCCTAGGAGGCAAGAACCACAGAATGGCCTGGATAGGAAAAGCCCTTTAAGATCATCAAGTCCAATCATGAACCCAACACTGCCAAGTCCCCGACTAACCCATGTCCCTCAGCACTGTGTCTACACGACTCTTCAATCCCTCCAGGGATGGGGACTCCACCACTGCCCTGGGCAACCCCTTCCAATGCCTCAGAACCCTTGCAGCAAAGAAATTCTTCCTCACATCCCATCTCAACTGCCCCGGGCACAACTGGAGCCCATTTCCTCTTGTCCTGTCCCTTGGGCCTTGGTTGAACAGACCCACCCCCACCTCTCTCCACCCTCCTCCAAGGGACTTGCACAGAGCCACAAGGTCTCCCCTCAGCCTCCTTTTCTCCAGGCTCAACACCCCCAGTTCCCTCAGCCACAAGGGAACTCAGCACACTTGTGCTCCAGACCCTTCCCCAGCTCCGTTCCCTTCTCTGGACACTCTCCAGCCCCTCCATGTCCTTCTTGGACTCAGGGGCCCAACACTGAACCCAGCACTCCAGCTGCGGCCTCACCAGTGCCCAGGACAGGGGGAAGAGAACTTCCCTGCTCCTATCGGAGCAGGCACCTTCCGCGGGGGATTTACTGCGTCACACCTCCCGCACCAGAACCAACACCACATTCTCTCTGTTTTGGCTTCGCCATTTACACCGTGACCGTCACTGTTCCATTCCCAACGGGTTTTCCCGCAGCTTTTCCG